GCTTTAGGAGTAAGGACCAAGCCTGAAGCCAAGAACACGTCCTAGGCTAATGAAAAAACAAAAAATCCCACCCCATCAAAACCTAAAACCAAGCCTTTTGAAAATTCCATTTGATTACCTATTTGGCATCTCACACCTAACAAAAGAAAACAGAAATCTTGATTCTTTCTCCCCACACAGAGATCTTTTTGGCAGATCAGAAAAATCTGACAGTAATATAACTGCTTGTCAGAACAAAATTTGATGCTTTTTACAGAAAGACATAATCTAAACCTCCTACAACATATCTTCTAAAACTTTCAGCATACAAAAAAAATTACTAGACATGCAGAGAGAAAAAAAAAAAAATGTAACCATCATCTGGAAGTAGAAAAAAAATCAGTAAGTAGAAAATTGACTTTGAGAAGACCTAGATGTGGGAATTTGCTGACAGAGACTTTAAAGCATCCTTTATAGATATATTCAACATCTTGAATGAAAATATGGATATGATAAGTTAATAGACTGGACACAGCAGAGAAGCGGAACGCCTACAAAGAATAAAACTGAAATTCAAAAACGGAAAGCACAAAGTTTACTGAGTCTTAATACCACACTGGATTATATGGAAGAGGAGGGTTGATGAATTTGAAAACACACTAGTAAAAATTAAAACTGATTAAAAAAATGTTTTCCCCCTAAGAAAGAGAATAAGTCAAGTATTTTTTCTTTCTTACCACTTCTATTCAACACTGTAATTCAACATTAAATAGAAGATCTAGCTAGTACAATAAAGGAAGGAACAGAAATAAAAGCCAAAAAGAACAGAAATCACAAAAAACTGTCTCTATTCACAAATGATATGATTTTAAATGTATAAAGTCCTAAAAATTTTCGTTAAAATGGGCAAGCTTCTAGAGCTAACAAGTGAATTTAACAAGGTTGTGGGGTAACAAGATGCAATATTAGTATTTTTAAATATCATTTATTTTTCTATACACTAGCAAACAATTGGAAAATAGATTTTTTAATGTACAGTTCAATCCAACAACAAATATTAAATATTTAAGATCAAATTTAACAAAATAAACATAATTACCACTTTGTATTGAGAACCATAAACACTACTGGAAGAAGCTAAACGAATGAGCAAGATGTTTATTTTCTCAAAATTGATCTATAGATTCAACATAATTCTAATCTAAAGCCTTTTAGCAGAGGGGGTAAAAAACTGACAAGTCAATTCAAAAATTTACATAGAAATGCAAAGGATCTAAAATAGCTAAAACAATCTTGAAAAGAAAAAACAAAAGCCAAAGTTGGAGAATTTACATTTTATACTGCTTGATTTAAATCTTACTATAAAGCTACAGTAACCAAGACAACATGATGGCTTAGGGACAGACAAATAGATCAATAAAACAAAATTAGCCCACATATAAGCGGTCAATTGATTTTCAGCAAAGGCCACAAGGCATTTCAATGAAGACAGTCTTTTCAAAAATGGTAGTCGAATAACTGGACAAAGACGCCTGGGGGGAAAATCCTCTCACTCTCTACCGCATATATATACTACAATTAACTCTCAGTGGTCACAGATCTAAATATAAGAGCAAAATCTATTAAGCTTCTAGAAAAAAATATAAGACTATCTTTGTGATCATAGGATAAGCAAATATTCCTTAAGATGCCAAAAGAAAAAGATATAAAGGAAAAAGAGCCTTAATTGTGAACAACAACAAAAAAAATGATATACAGGTCTTCATCAAAATTAAAAATGTCTGCTCATCAAAAAAAAACCATGTTAAGAACATGAAAAGACAAACCACAACCTAAAGGGAAGTATTCACAACACACATATCTGAAAAAGAACTTTTATCCTGAATATACAAAAAGGCTGAATGCAGTAGCTCACGTCTCTAATCCCAACACTTTATGAGGCTGATGTGGGAGGATCTCTTGAGGCCAGAAGTTTGAGACCAGCCTGGATAAGAGAGTGAGACCCAGTATCTACAGAAAACATTTTTTTAATTTAAAAGAGTAAATAACCTACAAATGTATTAAAAAAAAGGACAAGCAAATCAATCAAAAATGGGCAAAAATTTGGATACTTTAAAAGGGAAGACATATGAAAAACCAGTAAGCACACAAAATCGTGGTTATCATTAGTCATCAAGGAAATGCTAATTAAAACTCCAGGGAAATATCACCTCAAGCCTACTAAAATTGCTAAAACCAAAAGACAAAACCAAACATTGGCAAGAATGGGGCAAAACAAAAACTCTCATATCTTCCTAGTTGAATATAAAATGATATGACCTCTTTGAAAATCATTTGGTAGTTATAAAATTAAACATAAAAATACAATCTAAGCCAGCAATTCCACCTCTAGTTATTTTACCCAAGGCAAGAAAGAGCAGATTCCACAGGCGCATTTGTACAGAATGTCATTAGCAGCTCTTAACACGATGGTCAAAAACTGGAAATAATTCAAGTGTCCATCAAGAGAATGGATACACAAATTGTGGTCTATTCATACAAAAAAATTTAAGTAAACACTGATACCATGAATGAAGCTCAAAAACATTATGTTGAGTGAGAAAGCAAGATTTTATTTTTATGTTTGTTTATTAGTTTGTTTTTGAGCTGGGGCTTCATTCTGTCACTCAGGCTGGAGTCTAGTGCCAGGATCATGGCTCACTGCAGCCTATGACTCAGGTGATTCTTCCGCCTCAAACTGCTGAGTAGCAGGGACTACAGGTGCATACCACCTATACCCGGATATTTTTTTGATTTTTTGTAAGATGAGGTCTAGCTATTGCCTAGACTGGTCTCGAACTCCTGGGCTCAACCAGTCTTCTCACCTTGACATTCCAAAGTGCTAGGATTACAGGAGTGAGCCACCATGCCTGGCCAGATGCAAGATTTTAAAAGAATATCTATTGTACAAATACACTTATATGAAGTTCAACAATATTAAAAACAAACTACCCTCTAGTGATAGGAATCAGAACAGTGGTTGCCTATCAGGGAGGGGGACACTGACTAGAAGGAGCATGAGGGAATTGTCTGGATGACGGAAATATTCATATTTTGACTGGCAGGAAGGATATACTTTGTATATATTTGCCAAAATTCATTGAACTGAACTATATACTTAAGATGGAAGTATTTGATTGTAAAAACCTCAAATTACCTCACTTTTTTTAAAAAAAGTCTATTCCTTAGGCTGTTACATAATCTTCAGATCACTAGAAAATGATTAAATTCCCAGGCCTTCTACAAATATATGCCCTATAATTAAATTATAGTAATACTCAACAACTTTGAATTATTCTACTTGTCAATTTTATTTGTAAATGAATGACTCCATTTATCTACTATTATTTCCAGGACTGTTTTTCTTTCTTTCTTTCTTTCTTTCTTTCTTTCTTTCTTTCTTTCTTTCTTTCTTTCTTTCTTTCTTTCTTTCTTTTTTAACTTCTTCAAAATTCATATGTCGGATTTTTCCTAATTTTATTTTACTTTCCTTTTTGAATAAATGAAATGTGCTACTGGTATTTAATTGAATTTGGAATGCTTCAGAAATGATTAGAAAGACGGAATGCTATTTTAAGATTTACTATCAAGTTACCAAACCTTGTGTGTAACAAACCTTCATAGAAAAAGATTCCATGTAGAAAGGCAAAAGCATGGTGGCAAAAAGTTTATCCATCACTATACTGGATCTTGCATTCTGTATCTTTCAGTTCAATTATCTTCCATGAGGTTTTGATCCTTTCCTGTCTAAATCTCCCTTTTTTAATAGATTTGGGGGTAGATGCCATCAAGACAAAAATAAATTTTCACTAGCTTTTGCTTTAAATTGAACATGAGTTTAATTAGTTCCCTCCCCCCAAAATATTATGGAGTAATGAATACATCTGTAAGAGTGTACACTGCTTATTGACTACTTATAGGCTGTCTGTTACAAAATAAACAGTCATCACTCATAATGAAGCACTACTGATAAACACACACAGACACACACACTCTCTCTCTCCCTCTGAGTTAACTTCTAATTAAAAGGTAAACATCTAAGACTGGGAAGCGTCCCTTAGAGTCCCACCGCACACCGTGACCTGAGGTACCCTCCAGCGTTGTCTCCTGGCCTCTGTGAACCTGACCTGGCATTCATAGCTATCCTCTGGCAGCCTCTGCCTGGCTCCCTCAGAGCTCCCCACCTACCTATCCAGTTTGTCTCCTTATCCATTCGCCAACATCCTCCCATTATCCTATCATAGACACTTGGACTTAATACCTCCTCCCATGGGTAATCAACACCAGACATCTAACCACCCACAATCACCAAAGCATCGGCAGTTAGTCTCAGCTCAGGTATGCTTTGGAAAGTGGAGTGGGAGTGGAGGAGTCTAACTCTTCGTGATGCACAGATGTTAAAAAACACACACATATAAACTTTATCAGCTCAAAGAAAATGAACTGGAGGACTGCAATCACACCCTTCTGGGGTAACTGTGCTCGCACATGGCATTGCCTAGCAACAGGAGGAGCACACAAATCCCAGCGTTGGGATATAATGAATCACTCACTGACTCCTGCTCACAAATGGTGTTTTGATGGGAAGATACTCACATCTGGTTCAACCTGGAACAAGACTTTAGAGAATTGTGCAGATTCAAACTGGGAGAAGCAGCAGGTATTTCACCAGCAGCTGGGCTCCACGACAAAGGAGAGTATTCCTATTTATTCAGGTGAATGTATGCTTTTGTTCAAAACCAAAACAAAGAGACTGTTTTGAGAGAGCCTTGTTTTCATGACATTTTGTTTTGGCTGAGCTCCATCTTCTACAGCTTCAAATATAGTTAGTTCACAAATGTCACAAATATAAGAAGGTAAATATGACAAATAAACAATGGCATAATTGTGGTTAAGCTAAACCACTAGAGAACCTGAACAGTCACATGCTCTCCAAGCTCCCCTAATATTTGAATATAAGGGAATAAAAAGAGTCCACATACGAGCGAGATCTGTGTCTAGATCGCCTGTTGTTGGGGTCGGCCTGGTTTTTTTCCTTCTGTCTCCTTAATACGGCTTCCCACTGAGGTGCTGAATCAACCATATCATTCTCTTGCCGTATTCTGAAAGAAAAACCATTCATCTAAAGTTAATACACATACACGGTGCCTTGTTTTCAGTTCATCCTAAATTTGCTTTTTAAAGTTATTCAGGCAGCAGAAATTTTATTATAATCACCGAAAGCTAAAAATGCATATTAACTGGATTAATACATCCATATATAGGTAACTATGCATGTGTTTATATATACACACTTATGTGTGTTTATATATAGATACTCATATTAAATATGTAAGTATATATTTGTTATTTCAAGCTTCTGACTTAAAATTTTCTAAGAAAAAAACACATCAAACAAAGACTCATGTAAAATATTTTTAAGTTTTGACTAAAGAAACAGTGTCTGCTAGAAAGCCAATCTTAACCTATGAAACAAAATCATTGTTGTAAAGCTGCTAAAGAATAAATGATTTTGCTTTGGAATGTTGTTAAAAATTCACACTAATTGTCCAAGTTTTTATCAAAAATAGGTACCAGATATAATTCTCATTATTTTTAGAAAACTAAAAGTACAAAAAGTTAGACATGGCGGCACAATATGTTAGCAGCTGTCAGCATGAGTAAACATGGTGCTCCCAGGTTTACTCAGTGACATGAGCACACCCTGGGTATGGCCCCAAGCAGAGGGTTGAACCCTAGGGAGGGGTCCTGGGGGTGGCCAACCCAGGACATCCCCTCCCCCTCAGGCTCTGGCCTGGGCATAGAGGTCACACTGAGACCATGGATAATACATTCTCTGCACCTGCTGACCACATCTTGCAGCTCTGCATAGTGTATGATCTCCTGCATCCTTGAGGAGTCAGACCCCCTGGACTGGTTCAGACCAGATCGGGCACGCCTGGATTGATACCCATAACCTTTGGTTACCTTTAGTTCACCTTTAGTTCATTATAATACTAAAAACTCCACCCCGGAGAGAAATCGCAGCCCTTTTGTGTGCACGTGACATACGTATGAACGCCTTCTCACACTGTGCCTGTGCACTAAAAACCCTTCCCTTTTCATGCTTAACCCCACAACCCACCCTCTGTAAAATGCTGTATAACCTAAGTCCCTTTTACAATCTCAAGTGTTTTTTTTCCCCGTCCAGCTGGCCACTCCTGGACCACCTTCCCTTTAAGTTCCCTGTAAGTTCCCAAATGAAGCCCATGTCTCATCCGTCGTCTCTTGGTCATTTCTTCGACCTCACTGACACAGTACCTTCCCTTTTGGGGTCTTTGGGAGTCTGGCACAACAGCTAGGCAAGGAATATAAATGATGGAAAAGGAAACTGGGTCGGGGGAGGGCTGGGGAGCATAGGTATTTGCCATGTGAGATCACAGCACAGTGTTACCAAATCTTCTAATTTTTAAAAAAGATAATCTCCAAATATGGATTTTTTAAAAAGTAGGCTCTTCCAGTTTTCAAGTACTAGCCACCAACATCAAGTTTTAAAGCCCTACATGGACCTAACAAAATCCATCCACGGACCACACAGAGCCTGCAGAAGTTTTGGACCTCTGATGTATCAAGCCTTTCTAATAATGGGGTGAGTGTTGTGGGAAGGCGAGGAGGAGTGCTTAATTAGATGTAAATACTGTCTCAATGCATTGCAATGATACTGTGAAGCTGTGAGTACTCCTTGCAAAAACCAAACACCTGTTATTTGAATATTTAGCTTTTAATTTATGTAAGCTCTTCAGGAAGCTACCTAGACTGCTCATCTCCCAGGAGGTGGAAAACAGCACGGAACTGCCAGGAACTCACCCCAGTATTGCAGCCGCATGGGTACAACTGCCTCAAGACAAGAGTGGAAAGAACAGACCCCCTCGGAGTCATTTCCCTCCCTGAACAGATGTCTTTTAGCTCCTCTGTTACAGTACTTAAGATAGACTATGGGCTGGATAGCCAGGTTTGCTGATAGGTACAAATCAGCAGAAGGGTGACATATTCATTTCACATCAAACTTAAACAGAGATAATGTAAAGCAAATTCAAGTTGAAAAGGACAGTACCATGTGAGGAAGAAACTATTTAAGTCTCTCTAGATTAAAGGGGAATTGTGTTCAGCAAAAAATTATCTGTAACATACTCCAAGTCTTTGAAGTGTGTATATTTCCTCACTGAAGTTTTCATTTCTAATAGACTATTATTTGAAGATTAACAGGATACAGTCATGGTAGTTTTTGAAGATTTAAGAACATAGTTCCTTCTCTCATGGCATGGGCAGAGTAAATTAAAATTGAACACATACTGCTATGAACCTGAATATTAGAAGTATCAGAAGAAAAAACATCCGAACGTATACCACCTGAGGTCATAACTATTTACCATTCTGTGAAATAAACACTCCCACATGAAAATGCAATGTGGATTACATGTGGAATACAAGCACGTGAGTGCATTTACATATACACACTTTTGTAGCTAGAGCCTACACCAAGGCATTCCATGTCTCATGTGACAGTAACCCACCAGGTCTGCTGGCAGGGGAACAGTCCTGGACACCCCCAGGACTGAGGGGTCAGCGTTAGGAAGCGGAAACTAATGGGAAGATGCCAGGCTGGCAAGGAGGCATCTCCCCTCCTACTGGAACCCACACCTAGACTGCTAGACGCAGGATTAGACACAAATCCCAGGTCTCCTAACTCCTAACCCTGGAGCTTTGTAGATTGTAGCTTCCATTCTAAACAAAATCGCTGCACAGTTTACGGGCAGAACTAAACTTCATAGTATAAACTATTTTTATCAGGAAGTCAAGATTTGTAACTATTTTTGAGCAAGGCTGACTTAGGCACACACATGCATTCCCCAGAGCATAGACATTTAAAGGGAAGCACAATGACTATAGATTCATTCTCATCTATTGTGGAATTCAGCTGGTTACCTTCTTACTTGGACTTTGAGGATAAAAACTTAAAACTCTTGAGACATAAGCACAACTATTTCCTGTATCTTGCAAATAATGATGACTACATTAATCCTAATTCGGACTATAACATGTACCTTTAATTTTTATTTTTCTAATTGAAAAGTCTAAAATGAGGGTAGTGAACCCCTGTCAGTTAATATCCTTGTGACCCACGTTTCAAAGACAGATGCCCTCTACTGGTGATGGTGTTTCATAAATATTCTAACAAGATACATTAAAAATGTAAGGGCCATTGGAGAGTTCACAACAGAAGCACATTTTCCTGAGTAATGAATGGTGAGGCTGCCTTAGTATGTAATGAAGTTTGAAATTACACCCTTACAAAAGGCCTCTGCTTAATGGTGCCTCATTACAAGAATAAAAGTGTCATTTCTCCCATTGCTGAACTGCTCTAGAAAACACAGGTGCTACTTGGAAAGAAACAAATCCTCCCTAGAAGCCAGAATATTGTAGCACTCAGTTCTTAAAAAGCAGGAGGTAGCAATTTTGTTTAATGCATGAATTGATAAAGAAATCTTTTAATGAAAAAGACATGTTTCCTATGATTATTCTTTTAAGTCTCACTTATTCTTTGATAAGGGATGTCCAAGTGGTTTCTTTGCTATATTTTAATTTTGCTATTTGGTTTACTTCATAAAGAACAAAATAATGAATGTACTATATTGACAAAGTACCTTTAAAAGAGTCAAAAAGTGTTCTTATAGTCATGAAAGACTCAAGGGAAGAAAAGATTCCAGTTTAGTTTATGTTGGGGATCTATTCACTTTCAAATGTTGCATGTAAAGGTGACCCTCAACAAACTGATAAATGTTTTTTCCTGTACCCTTTGATCCAGTAAGTCTACACTTATCATATTTTGTCTATTTCTTCTTCTATATCTCTGGAGAGTCAACAGTTGTAGTAGGAAGTATATATAACAAGGTTTTTGCTTTTTAATTAGTGTATTAGGCAGAGGGTTGCTTTAGAACACAGCAAATTCCAATGTTTCAGAATAGAAGAATTCTAATATATTTCTTCCATGTCTCATCAAATCTCAACACTCTCCTTTTCCAAATTATTCATGCAATTTAGATTTTAACTGCATTTGACACTTAATTAAAGTTTGCAAAGGTTTTTGAAGATGAAATGGCATATAATCTTTTGATAACAATAATGAAGATAATGACTATTCCTAGTCTCTTCTTTCCTGTTTTCCCAATTATAGTTGTGCCTTTTCTGCAAAATTCTTCACATTACCAAATGAATTCTTATACAAATCCCATGTTTTACTTTGTCCTCTGTAACAGTTTTGTTCCTAATAGAAACTTCCTTTACACCAGTTCTTAATTCACTTCTAATTCACCGAGATAAAGACCATGTTTAATACTGAACCTAAGAAGTCTTACAGAGCAAATGTATAATGAAGCTTCAAGATGATTCAAGCTCTAAACGTTGCTATCAAGTTCTCTCTATTCCCAACTCTGCCATTATCTGACTCAGAGACCTTGGGCAAATCATTTATCTTCTTTGGTCAGATCCTAGTTTCTTCATCTCAAAATAATGGCAAAGATCCTTTCTAACTTTAAGCCTTGATGTTTCTCTATTTGCATTTGATTTCCAAGCCAGTCAGACACACTGAAAGAAAGCCCTTCTCCTCCACTGCAGCATAACATTCCAGACAATTGCTTCATATGGCCCCTCCATTGCTAAAATTAAATCTGCAGACCCCAAATGAGTGTAAACTTGTGTTTCTCATCAACTGCACTCATTTTTTCGATCACCTGCTATAAAGCAATCTTCATTTTTTTCCCCCCCAGTTTTTCTTCCCTAGGGAAATTTATGTCGGTTCCAGGCATCTGTCAACATACTCCCTTAAGACCAGCAAGTAAAAAATGCATTTGCTTTCCCTATTATCCCTACCATCAATAAATTATTCTTATTTGCTCTTAAAAGTACTTCTGTCTCTTTCACTTATTCTTTATGTTCCCACCACTACAATAGGCTATGTTTGGGGCAATTTCTCATTCAGACTATCCTGTTCTCATAATTCTGTAAACTGTTTTGTCCTCACTTGGTAATGTGACCACATTTCCCGGTTGCTGCAGCTTTGTAC